ACTTAATTTTCTCTTGGAGTTCGGTGCTTGCATCTAGGTAGTTGACAATAGCACTGAAAAAGGCAGCTCTTCTACTCAATGCATCGGCGACAACTTTATATTTACCCTTTACTGGCTTTAACTCAAAGTCAAGTTGATGAATTTCCCCGGCCCACCTAGTTAGTTTCGGTGTCATTCGAGCCCAACTGACTATAGACTGGATCACTCGTATAGGCAGACTTAATTTTCTCGTGGAGTTCGGTGCTTGCATCTAGATAGGTGACAATAGCACCGAAAAAGGCAGCTTTTCTACTCAGCGACAACATTATATTTACCCTTTACTGGCTTCAACTCAAAGTCAAATTGATCAATTTCCCCGACCCACCTAGTCAGTTTCGGTGTTCGAGCCTGGGTTTTTAGCCAGCGAAGTGTTTCGTGATCAGAATAGACTTTAAAGTGGCGTCAGTGATTCCGCGCTTCTTGCATAGCAAACAACTCTCTTTCATACATGGAAGCGGCGACCTTTTCACTAGGCAGTTCCACAGGCCTGTACCCATTCCCATCGTCTTGCTGGAGTACAACACCGATCCCGTATTGACCGCCGTCAGTGGTTACGATAAAGGGCAAAGATGGGTCCACGACTTTCAACACCAGGTAATTAATCAAATATTTTTTTTGACGCTTACGGGATGCGGTACAATCCTGATCACATTTCCAGATAGTTTTTTTCTTCAACAATCTCCGCAATGGGGCAGGTATTACCGTAAAGTGTCGAACGAACTTGCGGTAATAGGTGGCCAGACCAAGGAACGAGCGCAGTTCCGTCAGTGTGCCTGGGTTAGGCCAATCTCTAATGGCTGCAATCTTGGCGTATTCCGGCTTGATCCCATCACCGTCTACCATATGCCCCAAGTACAAAACCTGACGCTTTGCCCACTCACACTTCTTTGGGTTAATCTTAAATTTCGCCGCATGCAACTTATTTAGCACCAACCGAAGATGCTCCTCATGCCCGTTAAAATTTTTACTAAAAATTAGTATATCGTCCAAATAAACGACAACAAACTTATCAAGCCACTCATGAAAAAGCTCATCCATACATCTTTGGAAGGTTGCAGGAGCATTCGTTAATTTGGGTGGCATTACCACAAACTCGTAGTGGCCATATGTGGTCCGGAAAGCCGTTTTGTGCTGATCCTCGGGCAATACCTCAATCTGATGGTAGCCTGATTTCAAATTTATTTTTGAAAAATATCTGCAACCTTGCACTCAATCTAAGAGATCGTTTATGTGACGTACGTGCGGAGGGCACGTGCAGAGATGGTGAGAGAGAGAGAGAGAGAGAGAGAGAGAGAGAGAGAGAGAGAGGATATGGACACACACAAGAAGCAACAGCTGAGTGAAGGTCCGACTCAATGGAAGAACGAATGAACAACTGAATGAACCAACCTCCCGCCCTGGGCCTAGGCCGAAGTGATATACCGGCCTAGGTCCAGGTACGAAACAACCTGGTACCGGACCAGGGTCAGGCCGACGGCCTGAAACTGGTCCGGCCTCACTGTCGGGCCGTAGGGGTACACCTACACGATCCTCGGACCTGTGAATGGATCCCAGGAATGGGTGGGAAGGCGGCAGGTACAGCTCTCAGAGTAAACTCCAAGGGGGCACCCACACAACCAGGTAAGGGTCATCAAGCTCAGAGGGAGAGTAATAGCACGACACCGGGCTCAATGGAAACCATCAAACGGGTACTGCCTGCTGAAAGGGGAAGGGCACTCACACAAGGGAGCACACATAAGGTGAGCCTAGAAGGAGAGAGAGGGCTATGCCGGCATAGACATGTGGCCAAAAGCTGCGAGCAAAGAAAACGTACACTCCAGAGGAGGGCACGCAACATAAGGTAAGGCAGAAGGGCGGCAAACGGACACACCCACATAGATAGGGAAAATAGGGGTCATCATGCGACTGGAGGGTAACTCGAGGGTAAGGATACATGGGGAACGATGGGAACTCCGTAGCCGAAAAAAAAGTGAAGTAGTCCAACTGATGAATCTTCAAACTGAAGTCGAGTCGAAGTAGCCAGGATGAAGTAGGAGTAATGCAGAAACCGAGTAGAAGTCCGGAACAATGCGAGATGTACTCTGGTACTGAAGAGAAGCACTGAGGTCGAAAGTCGATGTAGAAGCCCAATGTAGAAGCTAAAACCGGGAGCTGCTGCATAAGTGTCCATGAATGGTAAAAGATAGAGAGCGTATAGGAGGGTAAGATCAGTCACGGTATCGGGAAGGAAGTCGATGGGTACGCTGAGGGCGCGAGGACTCAACTGCAACAACAAGCGGAACCACATCCACAGGGGAAGGAGGACCTGAGGCGGGTACCCGTGGAGCAGGAGGACCCATCGATGGAGGAGGGGGAATGTTAGTGGTCGCAGAAGTAGATGGGTCAGTAGTAGAAGGACGAGAAGTAGGGGGGGAGGATGATGAAGGGAAAGGGTGAGCACGATTGTAAGCACCCACGAAAGTCATAGCATGCTTCAGATGCTCAAGAGGCTCCCAAGTAGACTCCTCGTCAGGGTAACCCTTCCATCGAACGAGATACTCGAGGCGGGGAGGGTCACCATCAGTCATACGCTGGGACGCGATATCAGAGACGACAAACTCCTCGTGACCCTCAATGATGATGGGAGAGGGGCGAGGGTAAGGTCGACCATGGAACTCGGGAGGAGACCGTATGAAGGGGCGCAAAAGAGATACATGGAACACGTCATGTAAGTTAGCGCGGTACATGGAATTGCGGAGCTTCAATTTGAAGCTCACCGGACAGTCATGGTTGGGTCCGGCGGGGGCAAGAATGGTGCATGGTCCAATATATCGACGTCTGAATTTCCGACGTGTGTCAGCTTCGGGCTGGAAGTGACGTGCGTCGACAAGRACCTCGTCGCCAACTTTGAAGGGATGGTCGATGCGAGAGCGGTTAGCGCGAGTGGCCATGCGAGTCTGGGAGTCAGCAATGCTCTCGCGAGCCTTGCTAAGAAGCACATCCATCTCGTTTACCCAGTCATCGAGGGTAGGGCATTTGGTGTCGGGATGGATCTGAGATGGACGGAGAAGGTCAGATGGGACACGAGGATGGTATCCCAAGTCACAGTACTAGGGAGACATGCCAGTGGCAGGTGAAATAGCATGGTTATACGCAATCTCGACATGAGCAAGATGCAGATCCCAATCAGAGTCATTCACAACAAACTTCTTGAGGATACTCTCAAGAGTTTTGTTGGTGACATCGGTCTGTCCATCTGACTGGGGGTGATAGGAGGAGGAGAGGCGGAGCTCGAAGCCATAGATCTCATGGAGTCCTCGCCAGAAATGAGAAGTAAAGCGGGGATCGCGATCAGAGACGATGCTAGTGGGAAGACCGTGATGGATAGCAATACGGTTGAAGTATAGGGAGGCGATGTCTTTGGCTGAACTAGCATACTTGCAAGGGAGGAAGTGAGCATGCTTAGTCAACCGACAGACAACGACGAAGATGGCGTCGTGGCCTCGTGGGGTAGGGGGACGAAGAGGACCGATGAAGTCCATGGAGACGGAAGTCCAACGCCGAGTGGGAATGGGTAAGGGCTGAAGAAGACCGCAGGGGGGTTGGTTGGGGATGCTGGCCTCTTGGCAGATCCTGCAGGTGCAGGCGTACTCCTTAGTGAAGGGATGACGGTGCTCCCAGTAGTAATGGCAGTAGAGGCGGTCGACGAGATGACCGGCGGCGCGCTGGTCGTGACACTCAGCGACAGCCCGAACGCGGAGCTGGCCAGTAGAGGGCACACATAAGCGAGGAGTACGGGTACCTCGACGACCAAGCCAGTATAGGAGTCCAGAGGGATCGAGCTGGAAGTTAGGGACGGACTTGCCAGCCTGTAGGTCAACGTAGATGGACTGAAACTCAGGCCACTGCGTGTATGCGCGGCGGTACTCATCCAGAAAGGCAGGGTGGATGGTGGGAGCTGAAATAGCAGATAGCTGACGATCCTCGCACTGAAGGTCGGGGCGGCGGGATAAGGCATCTGCTACGCGATTGCTTTCGTTGGAAATCTTCTTGATGGTGAAATCGAACTCGGAGAGGTCACGCCACCAACGAGCCTGACGAGAAGTGAGCTTAGGCGGCGAGGACAGAGTTGTCCGTCAAAACGGTGAAAGTGTGACCATGGAAGTGATGACGCCACTTCTTAACAGCGCAGACGCTCAACGGGAAGTAGCTGCCGAGATAGAAAAGCAACCGGACACTCTCCATCACGAGACTCGACTGTACCGTCATCAGCGACGTCAGGAATATAAGGGGGTGGGGCCCCTGAGGGGGTGGGCTGGATGGGTGCAAGATGAGTTGCAGTCGCCGGAAGTGGAGGGAAGCGAGGAATGCGAGGGAGGTGGGACTCTGTGGAATCGGGAGAAGTAGAGGGGGCTGGGTAGATTTGAGAGAGAACAGCTCCAATAGCGAAGTCAGATGTGTCTGTGGTGACGATGAATGGACGCGAGTAGTCGGGTAAGTGTAAGACAGGAGCTGACGTGACAAGTCGCTTGAGAGAGCGGAAAGCATCCTCATGAGCCGGGGTCCAATGAAAAGGTAGACGTCCGCGGGTCAGAGGGGTAAGCTGGGAAGAATACTGCGCGTAGTTTTTAAGAAAATGACCATAGTAGTTGGTCAACCCAAGGAAACTACGCAGCGCAGGAAGAGAGGTAGGAGTGGGCCAGTCGACAATGGCCTGAATCTTCGAGTCGTCCATGTGGAGTCCGTGCTCGGCGACCTGATGCCCGAGGAAGTCGACTTTGGGTTGAGCGAAGCTGCATTTGGAAAGCTTCGCATAAAACCCGTGCGCAGGACAGTGCGAAGGTGGGTCAGGTGATCCTCTAGGGTACGACTGTAGATCAGGATGTCGTCAATGTAGACTAGAACATAGTCCTCAAGAAGGTCTTGGAACATCGTGTTCATAGCCGTCTGGAAAGTGGCGGGGGCATTACGGAGACCGAAAGGCATGAAGGTAAACTCGTAGTGTCCGAAACGAGAACGAAAAGCGGTCTTGGGCTGGTCCTCCTCGGGTACGAGGATCTGGTGATATCCGTTACGAAGATCGATCTTCGTGAAGAAATGGTGACCGGAGAGGCGGTCAAACAGGTCATCCGCGCGAGGCATGGGATAACTATTTTTTACCGTGTAGTGGTTCAGACCGCAGTAGTCAATACAGAGACGAAGGGTGTCGTCCTTCTTGCGATCGAAGAGGACCGGGGCACTCCATGGGGAAGTACTCGGTTTAATGAAGCCCTGGCGAAGCAGCTCCTCAAGTTGGCGCTCGAGTTCCTGGGCTTCGGGAACCGAAAGGCGATAAGGGGCGCGATTCTGAATGCGATAGTTGGGCTCGAGCTGGATGTGGTGCTCGATACCACGCATGGGAGGAATGCTGCTGTAGGAGACAGATGGTGGGAAAACATCGTGATACTCACGAAGGAGGGCACCAACGCTAGGCGGCAAGGAAGAAAGAAGGGTGTCAAATTCCTCGGCAGCGGCAGCGTCTGAAGCAGAGGTGGAGGGGGTCTGTATGGGGGTAGGGACTAAGGGTGTATCAGTGGTAAGGGAAGCGAGAAAGTGAAGTGGGCTAGCAGGGGTAAAGGAGGTTAAGGAAGTTGAGGAATGAGGAGGGTCGGGGGGCTCGGGAGGTGGTGGATCGAGCTCGACCAACTCAACGTCCTGATGCATGGAGTTGCAGGTGAGGAGATCCGTGATGTCGACAACATAAAGTTCTACATCAGTCTCACGAAGGAGGTGGTGGAACTGGGTAGGTGTACAGATGGTGACATTAACAGGGGGGGGAAGTGTAAAGTCCGATTTGCCCAACAATGGAATACGTTATTGTTTCCCGTCCTTGGCGTCGAGGACGAGATCGTTGTGGGTCCAATCGGGGCCGGCATGAGCGAACTGATGGGAATAAGCAGTGCCAAGAACGAGATCATATAGGGTTTCCATGACATCGAAGGTCCACTTGTCATGGAACCGAGGGGCCTTGCGAAGGCTGTGGGGCATCCGCAGGGGAAGGAGAATGGAAGATCAGGCACCACCGAATCGACGAAGGATTTGGTCTGATTGTAGCCAAGCGTGACAGTGACAGTGGAAGGGTAGGCGGATGTATAGAGAGATGCCTCCTTAACTACGCGAGGATGAATGAAGTCGCCAGTAGAGCCAGAGTACCATAGTGCGCGATACACTCTAGTAGAGGTCCCGAGGCGCACTAGAATAATCGGTAAGGTGCGATCGGGATTGTGTAGGCGCTGAGATATCGAGGACAGGGTGCGCTCTTTAAGGCGGAGACATTCCTGGTGGACTTTAACACACTCAAGGTCCAGTAAGTCAATGATATCCTCGGCTGCAATAAGGGAAGCACTGCAACGGGACGTGCGAAGAGCACGCCTGGTAGGAGGACGTGGAGGAGGGGGGTCACGAGGGACGCTAGGCAAGGAAGGAGAAGGTATACCAGTGTCGATAGGGTCACCCACAGATAAGGTTGGACCAGAGTCATCGGGAAGAGTAGCAAGCGGTGCAAAGGTAGAGTTGTGAACGGGTATGCCTGCTACCGTAGGAGAGTGAGGGGAATGGGACATCGCAGCTCGGTGGGTCTTGCGCTGGAGGTCGAGATGGGGGGAACAGCCTGAGGGCGAGCCTGCTGTGCGAAGTGACTCTGGAGGGCGTCTGTGTACGGACAGGTAGAGAAGGTATGGCCGGCGAGGCGGCAGCGGGTGCAGATGCCTCGTGTGCGAAGGTCCTCACTCTCAGCGATGGTCAAGCGGCTGCGAGGGAACACAAAGCCCGCTGGGAGAGGTAGTTGAGTGACCGTAGAGTGAGTCCTGGAAGATGAGGGCTGACGTCGGAGGAGGGTGGAAAGGGCCCGGACAAGACGGTCGCCATGGGAAGAGGCGTCGTCCTCCACGGGGGAGTGAGGGTCGGGTCCCTGATCTGAATCACTCGCAACGAGGGCCACGACGGTATGTGGAGGACTGTCGAGACTGGGAGGGGCGAGGTGCTGCAGTAGTAGCGGAATGGGCAGCGGCGGAATGAGGCGAGTAGCCGACGAGTGGAGCATAGGTGAGATGAATGGCCCTAGCAATGTTGAAAGCCTCTGTTAAGGTGGAGATGGAGTACGCCATCATCTGCAACTGGAATGACTAAGGTAGACCTGCGCGGAATCGCTGGATCATGGTGTCCTCGGGAATGGTTGTGACTAGAATCTGAGCACGTACACGGTGGAATGCCGTGATGTATGCATTGTCGCCACCGAGCCATCTGATCTCAGCCACACGGGTAATCGGGTCGCGGGTTGGCGCAGGACGAGAAAAGTATCGTTGGAGGAAGTCACGAAACTCATGTTAAGACATGCCCTCATGTACACCACGCTGTGAGCGAAGGGCGAGGAAGTCGCGCCAAGTGGAGGTTGCACGACCTATAAAGCGAGAGGACATCTCAACGGGCCACAGTTCCATGGCGACACCATGGTAGCAAAGCTTCTCCTCGGTAGTAGTGATCCATCCTTGGAGCTCGGAGGCCCTGCCGTCAAACTGTGGGAGGTGGTCCCATCGAAACTGTGGAACATACGTCGGGGGCCGGTAATGGGTAGGGAGAGGAAGGGCCGATTGTGACAAGAGRACAGAAGAAGTAGTGGCACCAGCAGGACCACTAGAAAGAGCGGGGAGCTGGGGCAAAGGTCCCTACATCGTGGTGGCTGGAGGTGGGAGCGTGAAATGCATCGCAGCGGCCTGTGTCTGATGTTGTCGATAGATGAAGGGGGCAACAGGCTGTGCCACGAGGTGGGGAGGCAGGGGTTGACCTCTTTGGAGTTGGCGGATGTGATCATGGGCCAGGGTGAGTTGGCGTTGGAGCTCGGCATTTTGTGTCCTGGGTGTAAGGGGGGGTGGGGGGAGGGGCGAAGGAGCGGGGGGTGATGAGGGAGGTGTCGTGGAAACTAACGTCGAGGAGGTGGCGGGACAAGATGCCATGGGTCCTGAGGAGGGAGGTGCAGGGGCAGAAACCTGGGAGGCAGAGATGGTTGCAGAGGAAGGGTGGGACTGGGGTGAGGACATGCAGCCCGTGGAAGAGAAGCGTGTAGTTGACACCAGCCGAAGAAGGAGAGGAAGCTGGCATAGATGCAGATGAGGGGGGTGGGGAGGGAGATGCACTGGTACGGGGCTCCAACTGTGACACGTGGGCTGACAGGGATGAAAAGTCGGTATGGAGGGCCGTGATTTTGGCCTCGAGTGTGGCTTGCATGCGGTGGAGGAGGTCCAATATAGGATCCGACTGGGAAGTTGGGCCCGAACTGGTTTCCATAGGGGTGGCCATTGAGTCGGATGTAGGCTCGTGAGCTAGGAATGCAAGCCCTTCGCTGGTGGAGCGGGAGGGACTCGCAAATTCGGTAGTCTGCATGGGGTCAAGGGATGGAGAAGATGAGGAGGGAGAACTGGGGGGGGGGGACGCTCAGTGGCCGTGGTCGGTGCGTCAAAGCGGACGAGTCGATTGGCAGCACGAGCGTCTCGAGCGCGATTTTGGAGTGTGCGCTGTTGGATGTCATGGGGAGCCAGGGTGACGCGCAGATGAGGGGGGTAAGGGACTGTGAGAGGAAGGTGAGTAGAAATTAGTCTAACAAATTTCTAAAGTTGAATGAAGGGAAATTCAGAGTCAGGTTGATGGAGAAAGAGAAAAATTCCAGCAAGAAAATGAGAGGAGATTTTCACAGAACAGCGTGGGGCATAAAGGAAAGCATGCATAAGACAATCACAGAGTCAAGATAAAATTCCGAAATTATTTGGACGTAGACTCAGAATTTAAAGGATTTGAAGCAAAATTCAAGGAATTTCAAAAATATTCGTAAAAATTTTCGAAAGTTCAAGGAGATGATAAAAGATGTAGAGATGAGCTGATAGGAAAATTTTGAAATAAAATGGAAAATTCCTCAACGTATTTTTGGAATTAAAAGAAATTGAAAGGCAATTTGAAATAAAAGTAGAAAACTAATTCCTAAATTAAGAATTTACGATGAAATTTCATAAAGAAACAGTGATAGCTGCGTAAAGTAAGTTGAGAGAAATTCCAAGATTGTCTAGATCAAATGAATAAAATTTCTTGACTTGTTACAAGTGCAAGGAAAATAAGTAACAGAGAGATGACAATTCTAGATCACACCATCACATTGAAAGCCAAATAGTCACACCGTGTCCAGAGAGCAGCATTGCACCAATAATACACCAATGGAGGTTCACAGCACTGAAAACCAATGTTCATGGAGAGCATACTCTCTCCTCCCAACAAAGAGTCCAGTTCCTTCACACTCACACTTGGCGCTCAGCGCCCAGCCTAATCCTACACAACTACTACAGACTACAAAACGACTATGCAACTGTTGACATCAGCGGCAGCCCGAAGTACTTGAAGATGTCGCCCATGCAGACCATCGCCAATACAAGGTAAGTGCCCTCACATCATCATCATCATCATCATCATCATCCTTCACCTATCCCCTGACTACACCCACACCTGTCCTCTCATTCACCCGAAGACCACCCCTGCGCTTCACTGTAGTCCAAGCCCACCAGCTATGGTGGCTGGGCTATGGCGCTGCCCTCAGCAGCGCCCTTCTCCTCTGCACGACCGCACGTGCTGCACCTCGCCTCTCAGTGCCAGCCAGCGGTCGCGAGCCTTTGCTCCAGCAGCGCTGCCGCTAGCATGCGAGTGCCTGAATGCGGCAGCCAGGGCCGAGCTCTTTCCTTTATGGAAAGAGTTGGTCTGCTCTCGCAGCCTGGCTGCACTGGCCTGGGCCCAGAAGCTTCCGGATGGCCCCAGGAGGCTGCCTGTGTACAGCAGCTACTGGGCTGCTGGGCCTCGTTCGGTTGGGCGCCCAACTGTCTCTGTATGAGGCTGCAAATCACGGCCAGGGCCTGCATTCTTTGGAAAGGCCCAGAGGGCCGTGGAAATGTGTTTGTTGCTCGGCCTGTGTTCCTCTCAACTAATTGGCGCGTCGCAACTGCATGGACCCCAAATATGAAATTGACAGTCGAGGGCCTCTTGCAAAAAGCCAGGCCCGCCTTCACTTAGGGCGGGCAAGGCTGCAAACAGGGGCCCATAGGCCTACCGAGGACCCTGATCCTCGCACAAGATTAAAATGAATTTCAAAGAGATTTCAAAAACAACGGAAGAATTTCGGAATTTTACGCGAGACAGAAAATAGAAGGAAATTCGTCATTGGGAGAATTCTTTGTAGTGAATTCCGAAATTTATTTCACGAATTTCTGAAATGAATTTGAATTTTGAAATTGAATAACGAAACGAATCAAGAAACTATAGAAATTTGCATAACTTTTGAACAAGACTGCCGAAATTAATTCCGATCACGGCGTTGGGAGAAAAGAAGATGAAGATTAATCCTATCGAATTAAATTGAAATTCTGAACGGTAGAATGGACGGCATTGTCAGGCAAGCACAAAGAAGGAAGATACGTGTCTCACGTAGTAGAAATTTTGGATGATGCGACCAATTAGCTGGGAGGGTGGAGAGAGAAGGGGGGTTGGAGAGGAGATAAAAGAAGAGGAAAAAGATACGATCTTTGAGAGAGGTCGGCGGGAGGAAGGGAGGGGATTAGTAAGAGGGAGATAAATTGACAATACAACGCTCCCGGTCGGCCGGGAGCAAGCAAGGTCCTTCCTCCTAGTCGAGAAAGGTCTTCAATCAACCCCTAAGGGGTCTTCTCGATCGTTCTCCCAGTGGAACGAGGAGGTCGCCTGATCGAATGCACGCAATGAAGGTGAGAAGCCGTGACAATGATGATGTTGACAATGGCCGCGATGGTGATGATGATGATGATGATGATGATGATGATGATGATGCTCACTTGATGATGGTTGCGGTGAGATATCAACACTGCGTCCTTGTCATGGCCAATTAGGTAGGGGCAGTGGAATCTCGTTAATCCATTGGAGCGCGTGGATCGGCGGCATCAAGGATCAAAAGCCGCATGACGATCTCGTGGCGAAGTGCTCGACTTGCTGGCAGGACTTGCTGGCGGGTAAGCAATCCAACACTTCGTGAATTCTGCTCCACAATGATAGGAGGAGCGACGTCGAACTGTGAACGCTTGGTTGCCACAAGCCAGTTGTCCCGTGGTAACTTTTCTGACACCTCTAGCTTCAAGTCCAGAAGCGTTAAAGGATCAATAGGCCGCGCTCGCACAGTTTGTATTCGTATTGCGAATCAAAGTCAAATGAGCTGTTGTCCTTTCGCTCCTCACGAGAATTATTATGTTCTTGTTGAGCGCAGCATAGGACACCGGGTTGGGGGGGGGTGCGGGGCGAAGCGGGCCCGGGAGAGAGCGGGGCGGGACGAGCACAGGCGGAGGGGGAAAGGAGTGGAGCGGGCAGGGTTGGGATGAGAAGTGGGCAAAGCCGGGATCGGGGTTGGCAAAGGGAGAGGAGGTGCGTTGTCTATAGTCGGGTTGGGATCGGGAGGGGGGAAGAAGGTGGGCGAAGTGAGGAGAAGATGGGGGAAGTCGGGATCGGAGGGAGATCGGGGGGAAATGTCGGGAACAGTGGGGGGAACGATCTCGTCGAGGGGGAAACGGGTTGGGCGCTTGGGGGGTGGGAATCGGGGGCAGGGAGTGTGGGGGGGAACGAGTAGGATGGGAGTGCGCTCGCACTTGCGCGCGTGTGCAGAGTGGGGTCGGATCGTGGGGGAAGCGGGATTGCAGTCGGGATGGGGGGGGATCCGGAGGGGAGTCGGAGGAAAGTCGGGCGGGAGGAAGCGCGGGGAGGGGAGGGATCGTGCGCAGGTGCGCGCGGGGTCAGGCGGGGTAGCAGGATCGGGATGGGAATTAGATGGGTAGCAGGATCGGGTGGGCAGCGGGATCAGGCGGGAACAGGGTCGGGTTCGAAGTGGGGCGCAGCGGGTGGGGGGGGAATGGAGTTGGGATCGGGGAGGAGAGGTAACGGGGCAGCGGGGCGGAGCGAGGTGGTGGGGGAAAGTGGGATCGGGATTGGGGCAGCGGAACGGGCAGGGGATCAAGGTCGGGATCGGGCGCGGGAGCGTGTGCACGGGGGGGGGGGGGGGGGGGTCAGGATGGAGGATG